ATTGTGCCTCAGGGGCTAAATAGTTTAAGCTCCTTTCATGTGATCGGAGTGGACTGATACTGATCAGTGGCTTCAAGCTTGATCTTAATTGTACAGAAGAACACACTGTAAAAATTGAGATTTCTGAAAGCACCTTGATATTGAGTTTGTCTTTCTCTCTCCAGCCCCTTCTTGGCTGCTCTTCATTGTTAAGATTTAGAAATAGACCCTGTGGGAGATCCCCCTCCATCCTGTTGCTGCAGTTCACCCCAACCAGGGGTGAAGAAAAATAAGCAACATGGTTTTAAGCAATGAACTTCAGTGTTCAAAATGCAGGCACAGCAGTAGGCAGCTATTACTACCATGCAGGATAATCCAGTGCTTATTCACAAACATGGAGTTAAATCCAGGTTGTCTCTGGGGTAAGCTGGATTTTAGTATCAACCTATTTGTAGCTTGCAATAAAACTTTTCTTTGTGGCAGATGAAATAATCACAGTGGCAGGCAGCTCAATTGATAGCTCGGTCAGGGAGGGCAGGCAGTGGAAAGTGAAAAACATTATTTCATGGTCTGTCATTTTGATTCAAGTATGTTAAGGTTTGTCATAACTCTCTGTTCTATAGAATAAAATTACTTGAGTCCAGTAGCTTTACCAGGTCTTCAATGTACCTAAAGCTACAAGGAAGGACAGTGCAGGCAGTAACTGAATGACGGTGGGATGTACTGTTACCCTGAGGGCATCAGTGAAACTCTGAATGTTACAAGAATAATGCCAATTACTTCTGCCAAGTAGCTGCTGTTACTTATTCAGAGTTGGAGGGGTGGGGGTTTCTGTCAGTCAGGCCATGCACAAGTACCAACATGTTTATGCTGTGCAGATACTATACCATTGAAATCACAGCTCAAGATGGCACACCTAAGGAGCCCTCTCTGTTTAAAACTAAGAAGGTAAGTGGGAGAGATCTCCAGCTTCATGAAACTGAACAGGTGAGAGGAACACTCAAGCAAACCTCCTGTGACTCATTTTACAGTGGGTCTATGTCAGAAAACTTGGATCTGAATTTAATCTCATCCCCTCCTCCCTTCCCCCTCACCCACAACACCAGTATAGGGATATTTGGATTCCAGCTTTAGGTTCCACTCACCATAAGAAGTGTGGCCATTTTGTAAAACTTGTGTCCTTTTGGGCATTTTTTGATCACCTCCAGATATGGGGCTGGAATCTGGTAGTTTGATTTGATTTAGAAGTAAAAGGAAACAGAGCTCTGCTCTTAAATGTGTCCAGTTTAGATTCCATTAAAATTAATTTATACCCCATCCATGTACGGGATATGATATATAACATGTATGGGATACGTATGAAAGTATAAGATGCAGTGTATGAGGGTTTCTTTTGTCAACTGCAGTGCACTGTGCCTGCTGTGATGGAAAGACCATGAAGATTTGTTAACTGGTTGAAAATTACCCAGTGAATTTGTCCCTGAGTTTGAAAGCTCTTCCCTCCCCCAGTGCTGAGACCAGTAATTTGCCTTGCAATTGCACAGCAACCAACATGAATTCAGCAATGTCCTCTGCCTGCTCCCCCCTGCACCTCCCCCCGAACACCATGCTTCACAGAGGCAAAATCTGATCCTGTGGGAGAAATTGGAGAGGCTGAAATGCAAAGGGGTACTCAAATGGAGCTCACTGTGTGTTAGGATTTCGCCCTGCATGTGATATTTGTATGTGACACAACCCAGCCCAGCTGAGATTGGGTTTCAGAAAAACTGAGAGTGTGGGAGGTGAGAAGGAGGTGTAATGTAGTGGCAGAGGGAGGAGAATAGCACTTTTATAATTCAGTCTCTCTTAAGCAGATCTCTGGAAGAACAGAGTATTTCCCTACTTGGACATACATGAGCAGTTTCAGTAGATGGAAGTTTTATGCACTTCAGTGCTTGATTTAAAGTCATTTTACCCCTGTCTCACAAGACGACACAGTATTGAAACATACTCCTTGAGCAAAGCCTGCTTGTTAGGTGGGTTTCCCAAGCTTGCCCAGCTGTACTATTGTTTTTTTCCCACGTCAGCACCAATAAAGCACTCCACAATGCCATCTTGTGGGGAGAGAACTGCCTCAGCGTGCATGGGAAACTAAGTTCACAGCAGTGTTTCAAAAAGAAGCATATTAGCACCTCAGAAGAGATTGTGGATTTTAGGTAAAGAATATTCTTTTATAAGTGCTGGAAGCTCCAAGTCCCTTTCCTTCTTCTGTTTGATAAGATGATTAAACAAGGCACAAGGTATTTTTGTGCACGTTCAAGCTTCAAAGGAGTATTTCCAAAGGGGCATTGTTGTCATCGTTGGGTCCCATTCCTGTTTTGCCTTCTGCATCAGATGTGTGCTCCTGTCTGCCAGCCTTGCAGAGCTTCAGATCTCAGATCCAGCTCTTTTTCCTCCTAGCCTCCTCACCAGTCAGCACGGTTCTGTTGGTCCAGACATGCTCTCAGTGGCAGCAGGGTAGGGTTTGCCCAGGTGCACCTGGCAACGTGCTCAACAGCTCCACAGCTGATGCCCGCTCTGGGCCTTGTCACATATTCACTTGCAACAGTTGCAAAGCATTGGTATATATTGACCTGTTAAAGTCAGTAGTGTTGGGAGATAACCCTTGCCTGAAAGGGGACACCTTTGCAATGCCACAAGGTCACTTAGCATGTCCCCCACTGCTGAAATGTGCATCTGCCTGTCCTTAGTGTTACGTCAACTGTGTGACACCACCCTCAGAGTCAGCTCGGCTGGCTTTGCAAGGCTAAAAGGAATAAAAAGCAGGCAAAACTCATTATTATCACGAAGACAGCAGAGTTGAATGAATGCACCCAGTGTGCAGTACTGTGAAGGGAGAAGATGCTATTTCTAAGAAGTTCCTATTCAAAGTAAATCCTTACTTTAAAGGGAAAATGCCACTTTTCAGGGAAAAAAAAATATCCAGAGTCTTCCTTACAGGTTAGATTTTTTTTTTTTTTCATTTTAAATATGCAGGTACCAACCCTCTTTGATCCCCTCCTTGGCAATGGACATTGCAACACTTTGCCTCTGGTTCAGGGTGTGGGCAGGGTTTGTCTCTTGACTGAAAACCATACTCAGCTGAAGCCGGCATCCTACCCCCTGGCAGGAGAGGCAATATCTTGGTCAGTCAGGCATGCTGCAGCCATTGCTTAGAACTCAGTGCTTCTTCTGAGTAGGTTTGTTTTAAATCAACTCCCTCCAGCTCTGCCTTTTCTGCTGCCTGGTTATCAGCTCACACCATATGCTTTTTCTCTCTCTCTTACTTTCCTCCCTCTCTCCAGGACCAGTAACTGTCCAGCAGCTCCTCTGCAGCTGAGAGTGTGAGTGTGGCACATGTCTCCCTTTGCTCAGCCTTTGACACTTAAGGATTCCAACAAAAAGGCCAGCAAACTTCCTCTTGCATGATGCATGTTGCTATAGAGGACCTGGGGATTAAGAAATAGTAACCCTAGTTTGCTGGGCTCCAAGCCTCGGGAACGTGACCTGAGTTGCTCTGTGAGGAGGACTCCTGCCTTATGCCTCAGAGGGAATCTTGGATGTGCCTCAATGCACTGCTTCCATTGAGGCACCCATGTGCACACAGGCATCAGCTGAAGAGGCAGGTGCTCCCTTGTCCTTCAGGCGGCAGAAAAAGTCCCTGGTGGTGGCAGCAGAGAAGGGATCCAAGTAAAAAAAAAAAAAAAAAA